ACAACTTCAGTATAGAAGAACAGAGCAAGATTGTTTGGACGCCAACTGTCCACCTGCATTAAGAGTCTTTAAAATATTACACTGTACAAGTCAGCACACTGTGCCGATGGAGTTTGGTCACTGAGCAGCCTGCTTCGCTAGATCCTTCACCACTGCAGACTTGAGCTGGGGGATGTTGGCGATCCGCATCTGCTTTGAGGTGGAGTATTTACCTTTGACGGCCTGTGAGACAGTAGACGACGGGCCGTTAAGGTGGTTTTAAAGGTTGAGAGTCATAATTGGTTGAGAGAAAGACTTACCATGTGTTTTGTCAGACCGTCTGTCACCTTCACAACATTTTTGGCAATGTGGGCCATAACAGGAAGCAAACTGTCTGCTGTGTAGTTCATGTAGTGCTGCAGAGTGACATCCTGAAGGGAGGAGAGTAGAGTTAACCACCAAGATTTAGACGAGGCGATTCGTTTTTGGAAAATCTGGATTTTTTCCACCAATGCACACTTGGGCCAAGGCAGCCATCTTGTTTTACAGCCTCCATTTGGACTTTGAAGTCAAGTCAACTCTGACAGGAAGGAAAGCTACAGTTTTCCCATTTTTAATCATAATTACAAATTATACTCGAGTATAATTTTACAAAATGCTTAACATGTTCAAGTTTTACAGCTAATCTTCTGCATCAGGCTGGAGGGTTTAAAGATTGAGTACTTCAGCACAATTTCACAGTGGCTCACGTTGCCAGGCATTTGCTTTTGATTGAAAACAAAAGAGTTGCCAACAAGGAAAATTACTGCATTAAAGTTGCCAATATTTATCATAGATTAACACATAAAACCCATACAAGTCACATTTCCTGATCATTTTTGCTTTTTCATGGAAAATTAATGCTTGCATTAAAAATTGCCAATTAGACAAGTGCTGTGTCAAATCATAGCTTTCACATATCCCAGCCATTGAAGTCTTTTCTGGTGCCCTTTCTTAAACTGGCAGCCGTGTGTAATCAAATCATCTTAAATGAAGCTCATTCAAGTCATGAAAACTGGTAACATTTTATGCAAATTAGTTGGCTCTAAAATGGCAGCCATCTTGAGAAAGCAAGTGGTTTGGGTTGCATCACCCAGGCCTAGTTTAGATGAGTTGATACCTACCCACTCTCCTGCATCCAGGATCTTTAGTGCGAGTGCCAGAGCAGCGCTGGCCACCATAGACGGCGGGAAGTGAATCATCTCGTAGTCGACCATGGTGAGCTCCAGCAGGTATTTGGCCAACGTGTGCTGCTCTGCGGTTACCTGCGGCACAAACCAAAGCTGCTCAACAACTGTACACCGTCCGCATCAATGGGGTCGTAGAACCGCCAACCCACCTCATAGATCTTTGAGGCCCGCCTGAGGAACTGGAGGGGCAAAGGTCGTCCGAGCTGGAACTTCAGCACCCGCAGGATGGTCATCTCCATGTCGCGGATCTGGGCGGTGGTGTAGGCCCGATCGGTGACGTAGGCGAAGTCGGAGATCTCTGGCGGGTACATCTCCTCATACTTTGAGGCGAGGAACATGGCAGTCACGCCTACCAGCTGGAGTTGCTTCTTGGGGACTGGGTGGTCCTGTTGGTGCAGCAAACACAATTGGCCCAAAAAAAAAAAAAAAGAAAAAATCGATAGATGTGCGGTCGTAATTACCTGAAGAAAGCGGTCAATGATCCCAACGGTCATGTACATTGTCTCCTGCAGGAGCCGGAACTTTAGATTGACCTGAACCAGCCAGTCAATGAGGATGGCCCTCATGTTACTGGTGACCTCCTGACCTTGCAAGTAGTTGGGTTTGACATTCTGCTCAACCTGGAACCAGAAATTATGAACCATGAATCACCATCCACATGGAGCCCATTTTAGCTGCTGCACAAAAGTTTGTCATTTAGCTACATCAATTTGTCTGTCAGATAACTTAATAGCCCAATTGGGTGGAAACCAACCAATCTGGCAACACTTTGGTGTTCTGCTGCTGATACAGCACCACCAACTGACCCAGCATGTTTAGAACAGTTTCTGCAGCACTGCACTCTTAATTTACAGAAGTATACCCTGATCATCTCCCCAGGTTAGAGGGGAACTCATTTTGTTGCTCACCTCAAGCTGCCGGAGGTACTTGTAGATGTCCTTTACGTACTCGCTGCAGAGCATGGGGTTGTCGTAGTCGTCCGCATCGACATCCCTGATGGCGGTGTCCAGGATAACATCCGAGAAGGCCTGGCAGAGGTCAGTGGGCTCACAGCCAGAGGTCTCCATCGGGGTGGGAGACGCTGGCTCAGGCTGAACCTGAAAAACAGTCGTTTATAAACAGACAAGTTGAGGTTTCACCACCACCAACATGTGATCAACTCACCTGGACTTCAGGGACGGGCTCAACGGCAATGACGGCATTTTGCTTTGGCTGCTTGGTCTTTTCAGCTTTTTCTGTGACTTTTGTCTTCTTTACCACATCAGTCTTGATGTTCTGAAGAACAAATTGAAAGTTAGTCTGAATAGAGAAACTGAGCCACCTCAAAAACCAGAGCCCCATGCATTATACAAAACTTTATTCCAGTTATTGCCCTCATTATGAATCAAATCCAGCATAAGTGTAGAAAAAAAAAAGCAAATCCAAATGTAAAATCTGGTTTATATGCAATAAGTCTGATGCTCACAAAAAATTACATTTAGCATACCAAATGAGTACAAATTGAAAAACTTCCAGTCGTTTCATTCTATGTGGACTTGTTCAGATTTAAAATGAGCAAAACAAATTCCATTCCAAGGCTAAAATTGTTTACGTTTGAAAAACTGAGCATGTGGCTCCATTTTCACAATCCCAGCCATTTTATGATAAGGTGGCTTGCCATACAACAATCGACGACCCGCATAAGACTTTTATCCAAAACGAGCTTAAGAGGAGTTTGTGTTCAACAAGAGGGCCATTTGTGAGCGTAATGGGCTAAATTGTTTCTTTTGCCATTTCAGTACTAAACATCATATTTGCTGCCTGGTTGATGAAAAACCATTTATACTGCAATCAGATTAGTAGCGCCCCCTCGCTGAATGCTAGCAAACACACTGCACTGAAAATACAGAGTTCGAGTCATTTTAAATTGTGTTATTATGACAACCATAAGATTGCAAATAAAGAGGATTTACGAGGAGTTTCACCTTTTTTGGGTTCTCTTTGTTAGCTGCGATGTTTCCGATCTCACCCAGCGCAGCCCGAGGCTTCAGCCCGGGCCCAGCCACCGAGCAGGCCTTCACCCCTCCGAGCTCGGTCCTGGAGGAAGCCAGGCGATTCTGCAGAAAAGAGGAGAAAATTATTCTAAGAAATGCAGAAAGCATCGTAATGTTGCTCTAAAGTACGATCAATAGCTTTAAACATGGAGCTATGATTGCTTAATGCATAAAGGGAAACCCCATGTAGCAATAAAATATATAAAATACCGCATTTCACATATAAATATCAGCCAGAAGTAACTAAATATGTTCCAAACTACTGTAAAAAATAATAATAAAAATGCATAAATACTCACTCTGGTCACTCGCAGAGCCATTCTGAAATGTGCGTGGCTTCAGCAAACAAGCGAAGAGTCGTAATGAAAGGAGAATCTGGTTTGGTTATGAATGCTGTAGTGTTGGTTTAAATCCTCGCTCCTTGAAAGCTGATTGGCTGCGCGCTGGCTCATCCGCGACTCTGGTTGGTCGAGCGCAGCTGCTTTAAATGCGTTCCCTGGACAACCGGTGGTGACGTGACAACAAAGCGTATTTCCTTTTCCTGTTACAGAGCTGCCAAAAATGGTACATTATTATCATAATATTATACGGAAATTCCTGTACCCTTTTTTTCTTCTATTTTTTAAATTATTTTTGTAAAGCAACTGTTTATTATTTTACTGTACCTTACTACGACGATTGTCACTGGTTGTAAGCAGAAAAAAGTCGTAACAGACATAAAAGCTTTATCTATCTATCTATCTATCTATCTATCTATCTATCTATCTATCTATCTATCTATCTATCTATCTATCTGTAGATAGTTAGATATCTATCTATCTGTAGATAGTTAGATATCTATCTATCTGTAGATAGTTAGATATCTATCTATCTGTAGATAGATAGATAGATAGATAGATAGATAGATAGATAGATAGATAGATAGATAGATAGATAGATAGATAGATAGATAGATAGATGCATTCATTTCCCAATGTTTGGGTTTGCAACAATAAAAACTAGCAGTATGTCCTTCACAACATGTTTTCTAGGATCAACAAACAACAACACTGTTTCGGCTGGTGAACATTCCCTCCTTTAATACTCAGCAACATGAAACTGCAGCCCAGAAAAGCAGCTTTGCTGTTTCGCAAGGTGTTGAAATCTTTGGTGGCCGCCATCCAATCGCAGGATCACAATTTCCGTGACGTCTACTACCGGAAGTAGAAAAGATGCAAAGGCAGTGGAGATGTGTCGGTCGTGGACGATCCGGTTGGAAATGCCAATTAATTTATATGAACTATTTCTTCCATCAGAATAAAATTTAAAGCGAGCTGAAAAATTAAAACTGACTAAACAATTTTGTACCTAACATAGTTTATGTATAGTCCAAATCAAAGAGGCCAAATGTGAGCCTAGGTCCATTTTACGCATTCAAACACTAAAAGAAAACATTATAAAAGGAAACTAAGCATCCGTAATTCAAACATGTAGGTTAAAAAATTAAACATTGTTTTTGTATTGGACCCAAATTTTCAATTCAATTATTCTGATTTTCTTTCTCCTACATTTTCTATGTTTATAATCATGGGAAGACTTTGGCTCAGTGATACAGTTGTTTCATTCTAGCTCAAAGCCATCGTCTCGGATTTGAAATACCGATTTAGTCATAAATCACCAAAAAAATATATAATTTATTGTAGTGAGGAGGCTGAAAAAAGGAGTCGTATCTTTAAAATGATCTCAGCCAAATGACTCGGATCCCGAAACAGATCTGTAATTGCCATCAGCAGAACGCCAACACGTAAAACAAAACAGATGCCAACACAGCGCTACAGACCGAGGGGCCGTAGATAACAAAATTAGCCACCATCCCCAAGGTGAGGAACGTCCGAAACGAAGGAAAGAAAGGAAAAAGACTCACCTAGACGCCCCTAGTTAGTTAGACGGTTAGTTAACTTCAGGATAAGTGAGGTTATTTGGTCGTGATCGCTAAACCGGCTAAGAAAAGCAGCGTTCCTCAGTCACAAAGGGTAAGTTAAAACCGTCCTGTTAAATATTTTCCTATTGCTTTAAACGTTAAACACATAAAGAATAATTTTAGATATAGACTCAACTTGCGCGAAAATTCCCGAGAACACAATTTAAGCTTATGTAGAAAGTTGTTAAAGTAAAAATCAGTTTAGAGAACGGTTTGCTAGCACGTGTCGTCGGAAACTTTACCTTTCCTAATTGTGAGTTTTTTCCTACGAATAATCCATATTTCGGTCAAATAACTTATTAGCAGCAACAACCTTTACTAGGTTTAATATAAAAGTGATTACTTTAGTATTTTACATGTTTTAACTTGGCTAACGTTAATCTGCTAGCAGCAGAAAATGATCATTAGCTACCACTGTGGCTAACAAAGCTAGCACCGTCCATTTATTTGAATAAATAATATATGCAGGAGTACAATTTTAAGTTATTGCTTTTAATTCAACATAAACATTTCTTTCGTGAATTTAATGTTAAAACAGTTGTCCCAATAAGTTTTATTAGGGGGTTTCTTCAAAGCAAAGCTGTTAGCATCGGATATTAGCCTGCTAGCATGACTCAGTGGATTTGTAGATTTAAAACGGCTGTGGCCCAGAAACCGATCAGGAAGCAAATGAAAACAACAAATTATGTCACTGATTTAATTCAGTTTTACTCAAAATGTTTTGGGGTTGTAATTTTAAATTTTTCTTAGCGATATAATCAGGTATTCTTCACGCTAAAGCTAGAAAAGACTAGCTAATGGGTCATGGAGTTCCTCATTAGAGGCTTTTGTCTCAATGATCTCCAGGTGTTGGGGTTAAATAACCTGTATAATTGACGTTTTTATTTGATTTGAGCCGCTGGTATTAGTTTGAGTTATTATTGTAGCAAAATCACAGATTGATCGGGTCTAATTAGGGAGACAGCTCAAAATGAGACAACTTTATGTTGGTGATAGTGACTGAAATTAAATGTTTTAACTTAAACCATTTTCTTTAAAGAATTGCTGTAGATACTGATTTCTGTCAATAAGAAAGATCTCCTGTTGTTGTCTGTATTACAGTGAACCTGAGGAAACCTCTGACTGAAGCGGCACATTTTAAAGATTTGAATATATTTGGGGAGAAAAAAAATAACAAACCTACAAATGATACCAGAATTATAGACTCAAAGTTAAAACCACGTCATTTTAAAAACCAAATTTCTGAGGTAAAAATAATTTAAGGTAAATTAATTTTATTTCCCTTTGGAATCATGAAAGTAGTTTTTAAATTTATATATACAAGGCCCTTTAAAATTTGTTTTATTTCTAAATTTTACTTTTTCACTCTTAACCATGAACATTATGGTTAAGTGTAAATATGAATGGGAATAATTTAGCAAATGGACTAAATTTATCTAGCAAAGCATGAAAATCTTTCAACTAGAATAACAAAATGCTTTTTTTATTGTAATAAACATACAAAATTATTGGACAATTGTCTTACAATTAAATGTAGAAATATTTAATTTACATATTTCTTCAGTGTTTTCCAGTTTAGTGATGATAATTTGGTTTTAAATGCATTTATTGTTTGTTCTGTATTTGATTTTCACATTATTATACAACTATTAGACAGTCAGTGAAATCATTTATTCACTCTTTAAGTCACTTTCTAAATAATTTGCAAATAAATTATCAAATATGTAGAAGAAAATTAGATAAATAGGTTAATTTGTGTTTGTTGTAAGTAAGGGGAAAAGTTTTTCTACCTTTTTCAGCCAGCTAGCTTTTGTTTGAAAATGATAGAATGAATGAAAATGAGTTAAAACCAAACATTGTAAGCTGATTCCTGCATTTAGAACATTATTATATTCAGTGTTTCTGGACGTTTGTGTCCTTGGTGTCACACAGCACACGATGTACAGCCGGTTCAAATACTAGCAGCCTAATTTTGGGTACAACCAAATATGACGGTAACATGTTACTGTTTATAGGACGAGCTATGATATTATACCTCAGGACAGACTGCCTAAAACAGAACACAGAGCAGCAGGGGGGCTGGAACAACATGATCAGTTTTTATTTATTCTCACATAAATTCATTCTTGAAATTTTATGACTTTATTCTTGTTATTTTGACTATTTGTATTTTGACTGTAGTGTATTTTTTTTTCTATCCAAGCCCTATCATAGCTATTTATGTTTAAATCTATACGTTTGTTTCTCGGCTGACCGTCCTGTAATTTCCCTGTGCGGTGACCCATCTGTCCTCATTATTTTTCCTATCTTTGACGTGAATCTGTTTGCGTCTCCAGGATCTGTCAGTCGGTGGCGGACATTTTGCCATGGCTCAGGAGACCAATCAGAGCCCGGTTCCCATGCCGTGCGCCACTGGCTGTGGTTTCTATGGCAACCCCAGGACCAACGGCATGTGCTCCGTTTGCCACAAGGAGCACCTGTCGAGACAGAACAACGGCGGCGTCAGCTCTCTGAGCCCAATCGGTGAGAACCTTAGCTTCTCTCTGCTCACTCTCACCTGCTTTACATTTTTACTCCATCTTGATCCTCCATCTTGATCCTCCATCAGGCAGCAGCTCCACAGCCGAGGAGTCCGCCATCCAGAGTTTAGAGGACACTTTGAACAACGCTGCAGCCGCCGCCGTCGCTGCTGCAGAGGAGGCGGCTGAGGCGGCGGCGGCTGCTGCCTCCGATACCGCAGATCCCCTCAGGTAAGAACTTCCTGTTGAAGCTCTTTCACAATAAATTGTATCCAAACAACTTGATTTTGAAACTCCTCTCAAAAAGACACTCAAAAGATTTTTTTTATTCAATGATTTGATTATGTAGTCTCAAGAAGTTATTTGCTCTTTTCAAGCAGTTTTTCCTTCCACTCAATTTCCTCATTAAATTTTAATATATAATGGGTCCCGTTGAGTCTCATTTTTCAGATAAAATTTTGAAAATAACCTTTTAATCAGTTATAAAACATGTTTCATCAATCGCACATTTCTGTTTTTATAGGTCTTATGTAATATTCTAATTTTAAATGTCATTTTTATTAACTGAGTTGAAAATCATCATGTTTAGCAGAAACAAAAGTTTTCACACATCTAGCTGTGTAATTGAGCTGCATAATGTATTTCACATTGTGGTCAATTTCCTAAAATAATAATCTCATGTATTGAGGGGGTCTGTAGAAATCTGTTTTTATAAAGTTTAAAATAAAAAATCTAGGATATGAAATTTAGTTTCTTCCTGGTCTGAACAAGTTTAGGAAAAATATATTTTTAAATATTATAAATAAATTATGATTTTTTTTTTTTACATTCTGGTTAATTTTCTGCATTTTCTGAATTAAGTTGAGGATTAAAATTAACAGAGAAAGTCTGAGGAAAAACTGAGAACATGAAACCATTTTCTACTTCATGATGTGTTGCTCTTCCTCCTCCTCCTCCTCCTCAGTGGGAGCTCGGCCGCCGCCTCGGTGACGCAGCAGATGACTGAAATGAGGCTCTCGTCTCGGGAGAAACCGGCATCAGGGAGCAAACTAGAAGACCCAGAAGCAAGTTGGTACCAGAAACGGAGCAGCTGGTTTTAACGAGCACGCTTTTTGATTTTATTAAAATCAGGATCGTAATAATTTATACAGATCACTTTGAATGTGCTGTAAAAATAAACCTGTTTTAAAATCTGTTTTTGTCTCCAGTTGTGAATCAGCCGCCCAGTTCGGTTCCTCTCCCCTCCATTGCTGGCAGTGAAGAAGTCGGACCCTCCGAACCCACCAAGCCCAAAAAGAACCGCTGCTTTATGTGTCGCAAAAAAGTCGGCCTCACTGGTGAGAGACACGACGGTTTTACTCCTGATATTCTGTCTTAACGTTTTTCAGCCTGATTTCAGCTATTCATCAACTTTCAGCTTTTTCTTTATATTGTTTATATTTTGAAATATCTTTTGCTTTTAAGCAAATTTCTTCAAGTGATTCCACTCTTGCAGTTTTTCTAAAACCATGCTTTGAGTTTTTACTTTTTCCACGAGCAAAAAAAAAACAACAACAAATGCTGCTGTTGGTGCAAATTTCACTCTACAGAAATATTTTCTGCATCAAAAAGTAGCAGTTTAAGGGAGAATCAACGTCATTGATGTGGTTTTACTGTTT